GACCCTGAGAATGCACCTACTCACCAGCAGCCACCACACACCTCTGCATCCATCCCTGCAACAGCAACCCCAAGCACTGCCCAAACATCTCCCAGACCAGCAGCCCACTCTGGTCCATCTAAAGCCCCATCCCAAAGTCCTCCAGCTCCAGGAGGGACCTGCTGGTGGTGTTGAAGGAGTTTTTATCTGTGATGGAAAAGCTACACCCACACCAACCCAAGCTGCACAGCACATGTGCCTCCAGACAAGGATGAGAAGTCCGTGACATTCTCTTATTTCCTGTAGGAACATTTCCCCTCATTGCATCTTCCACATGATGCTAAAGTACTTGGAGATCACTAAGAATAAGCAGGGTGCTGTTCCAGCATCCCAAATCCCTGCAGGGAGCAACATCTTGCCCTGATGTCCATCCCAGGGGTCACTCCCTGCCCTGTTAAACAGCAAACCCCAGTGAGCACATCCCAGAATTAGCCTCTCACAACCTACATTTTGGTGTCCTTTGGCTCCATCCCGCTGCCATGCCTTGTGGGAACGTGTTTCTGAATTTCCAAATTAATCTCAATAAATTCACAGCCCTGGGTTACCAATCTGCATTAATGAGCAGGTTCTCTGTGGGTTCAGGTCCACAGGAGGGTGGGGGTGAGGCTGCCAGCACAGACAATGCCCTGGCAGAGCAGAGGTGGCCACCAGAATGGTCCAAGGGCTGAGACAAGGGGCAGTGGGGTCAGATTGGACATGGGGAAGGAATGTCAGACTGTGAGGGCGAGGAGGGGCTGGCAAAGGCTGCCCAGAGAAGATGTGGAAGTGCTCAAGGGCACATTGGACAGGGCTTGGAGCAAATGGTCCACTGGTGTAGATTTAAGGTGTCCCTGCCCATGGATGATCTCTGAAGCTCCCTTCCAACCCAAGGCACTCTGTGATTCTGAGTCTGTCCACTGCTGAGCCCTACCACACCTCCTGAGCACACTACAATGCCACAAATCACTGATTTCAGATCAATGTGTGGCTCCTCTCTTCCTGTCCAAACAATTCTTGATGAACAAACTCAATTCTCCACAATACCAAGGCAAAGGAATGCTGTAAAACAAAACCAGGAGCACTTCCAAGGTCCTGGATGCTTCTGGAAGTCATGGGAATGTCAGCACATCTTGTTTGCTGCAGATCTCAGACTTTTTAAATAGATGATTGTGCTTTTAGGCCATGAGTGACCTTTGCAGCCCCAAGTGAACCCCATGCCAGTGCAGCAGCCAGGAGCAGAGCAGCAGGAACACTGCAACATCTCACAGTGAGAGCACAGGGCCTGGAGGATGATTGAGCAACAGCCTGAGACAAAGGAACTCCCTTGAGAAAATCCCTCAATTCCAGGCTTGGCCAAGGAAATTTTAGCTGAGGAGCAGCTGCCAGGAGAGGGGAGCCTGAGATAATTTAGGAGAGCCATTCCTTTAAAGTAATTACAAAATCCACTGATTTGACATGGATGAAGGGTAATGTGTGTGTGGGGACCCTACTGGGACCTCCAAGCAGAACTCCACAAGCAGGCATGGAATTGCACTGGCAAGTGAGAAATGGATGGGAAGAGGGTAGATGAGCAGAGGGAGACCTGGTCTCACCTTTCCAGCCTCTATAAATTACACAAGCAGTGCTCAGCCCATGGAAGCAACACCTCTGCCAAAATGAGGGCTACAGTGGCCTGGAGCATCCAACACCCCAGTGACACCAGCATGATGATGGAGGGGGACAGAGGGGACCCACCTGGGCTCAGTGTCACCCTGAGGGTGGAGCTTGGGGCAACAGAGCTGTTCCAGGGCTGCCCCTCAGCAGGTGAGCCTGGGCAGGCTCCAACACACCCTGCAGGGCTCAGCCCTCAGATCCAGCCATTCCACAGTAAGGGCTGTGCAGACACTGGAGCTGGAAAGCCTCTGCTGGCCTCACCACCCCCCAGCCAGCTCTGGGGACCACAGCATGCACAGTTTTAACTCTGTCAGATCCCCCAGACACCCAAATTTTGCCATCCTTTGGTTGCTCAAATCCCCAACTCCAGCTCCTGGCAGCAAACCTTTTCTCTGGAAGGAAGAGATCTGGAAGGGATAAACTCTTTGACCAGACAGCAATAAACTGTCCCCAGGACAGAGATGCAAGGTCTCAGCTGCCACCTCTGGCTCAAACAGGAGCTGTGACATTTGTGGGCCCAAGCAGGTGACACTTGGTCTGTTCTGCTTTATCCACTCCTTGGGATAAGGATCCACTCCTCTTTCCCAGGCAGCCCAGGGCAAGACAACCAGCACAGAAACAGCCACTGCTCTTGCCAGCCTCCACACTGCCCCAGCCCTGCAGAAATCCCCTCACTGGGCTCTCACCACCTCTCCAGCTCTCAAAGCCACCACTCAGTCACCAGGCCAGCCCAAGCCCTCCCTCAGCACCACCTGCAGACCCAGGGGACTGTGCCTGGCCCCAGCCACCCACCAGGGCACACAGGACACACAGGACACACGGGGCCCACTCACTTTCATCGGGGTTGGGGGAAGCCAGAATGGCACTGTGCTTCCTTTTCACTTCTTCCACATTCTCCGAGATTTTATCAATGAAGCCTCGAATTTCTTCCACCTGTGAAGTGAGACAACAAGACAGGTGGTCTGTGACAGAACCTGGACTCTTGGAAAGTGAAGGGATTATTATACCCTATTCCAAAGCAGCCATGACATGTCTGAATCACAGCAAACATCCTCCTGGATAAATATTTTCCAGTTTGGAACTGTGGAATCAGCCCTTCTTCATCCCACCAGCCAGCTCTGAGTCACAGCAGTGTAATACAGACTGTATGTCCTGGATTCTTTGTGATACACTGAGAAACTTCTGGGATTTACATAAATCAGCAGCAGAATGATCCCCAACTCTGTGCCACTGGCAGAGCACTGCTGAGACTGCACAAGCCAGGCTGGTGATGGCTCAGTCTCCCATGGCTCCTTGCTCCACAAAAAAGCTCCAGAAATGCCCAATTTGATCCTCACCCCCCATTCCACATTTTCCCAAAGATCCATTTTGGCATTTTCCCTGTCCTTCTGTGCTACAGCAAGACACCAGCACTGCCCAAGAGGGGAAACCTCTCCTGTGCTCTCCACCTGCCAGGCTGCTCACCCTCTAACTCAGCCTTCTCCTTGGGCTCACACCACTCCTTTGCTCATCTTCCTCCACCTGCACATCAGATTTATCCCAGTTCCCACTCCATTGCCTGCACAGATCCATTTTAACACCCCCCACACACATGCCATGCTAAGGGTGTGCTAAAAATCAGCAAGCAGATCTTACAGCCACCCACATGCCAGAAGACAACCTCTTGTTTGGGAGCAGGAGGCACAAAATTAAATCCATGATCCATGCAGAGACTGCTGCTCTGCTCTGCAGAGGTGCTCTGGGGAAAGGCCTGAGAGCTGGGTGTGAGGCTTCCCTGCTCCCATGGCCTGGGTTCTGGAGGAGCAGGGAAACATCCACAGGGCAGCACAGCCTCAGGTGTGCAAGGATGTTCAGCACTCAGCACCACCCTGAGCATCAGCTGAGCAGCACCAGGACCTTCACCCCCATCCCCAGTGGGCACAGGGAGCCTGGGGCATCCACAACCCACCCTGGTGCCAGCAGAAAGGTCTGAAGCAGCCTCAAAGCCACCCTGGAGGAACAAAGCTCTCACCTGCTCAAAGAACTCATCCATGAAACGGTCCCGGTCCACACTGACGGTGACTTCATCATCATCATCACTGTCCTTGGCCTGAAACAACACGGAGAGAGAGAGGCATCAGCCAGGGCTTCCTGCAGAGCTCCCAGCCCTATTTCAGAGCTCCTGTGAGGAACCTTCCCCTTCTCCTGTGCTGACCTGCTCCAAGGAGCTGGGGCAGAGTGGGGAACGCCCCAGGCACTGCCACTCCAAGCCCCCAGGACTCTGGGAGAGCAGAGAACAGCCACATCCAGCTGGGAGGGATGGCCAAAACACCACAGCAGCCATGGCACAGCATGGACACAGCCAAGGACACTCCACAGCCAAGGAGGGGGAGCTCCCAGGGCACCCTGTGTGAGCTCACCAGCTCTGCAAGGAGCAGGAATGGGAAACAGCACAGATTCCACCATGGGAAACACCAGAGTGGGGTGGGAAAGCATGAGGCAGGGAAATGATGGAAAACATGAGGGATGCTGGACTGGGAAACACAAGGAATGCTGTGATGGAAAACATGAGGGATGCTGGACTGGGAAACACAAGGAATGCTGTGATGGGAAAAGATGAGGGATGCTGTGATGGGAAACACAAGGAATGCTGCCATGGGAAAGCACAAGGAATATTGGACTGGGAAAACAAGAGGGATGCTATCATGGGAAAAATGAGGGATTCTGTGATGGGAAACACAAGGAATGCTGTGATGGGAAAACAAAAGGAATGCTGCCATGGGGAAACCCAAGGAATATTGGACTGGGAAACACAAGGAATATTACACTGGGAAAGCACAATGAATGCTGGATTGGGAAAACAAGAGGGATGCTGTGATGGGAAAACAAGAGGGATGGGATAATGGGAAAAATGAGGGATGCTGTGATGGGAAACACAAGGGATGCTGGACTGGGAAAACATGAGGGATGCTGTGATNAGGGCCAAGAGATTCCCTGAGCAGCCACCTCAGCTCACCCATTCAGCCACGTGGATCCCAGCCAGGGCTCAAGGAGCAGCCAGGGCTCAAAACCACCACAGGAGTGGGGGCAATGTTGTTGTCTTACATAGCAAAAGTTCTGTCATCTTATATATCAATAGTTCCACTATCATTATAGTGCAAGGATACCATATCACCAGAGTTTCACACCTCCTCAATGTTTCTCACAGGCAGCTCCTCTAAGCACTGACTGTTCCTGGTCCTTGCAGCAGTTATCATCTGACTCCAGATCCCACCAACCCACTCTTTTATACCACTGCTCTTATTGGCTACAGGTGTGGCCTGTTAACATCAGGCCTGCTCCTAATCTTTAGTAATTGGTCCAGCTGGAATTCATTGGGGGATAAGATTACATTCTATACCTCCTTCATTTACCCACACTGTGTCCCCCTACAAAGTCACACACACAGCATGAACCAGCAGAGAGAGACAAGGGCACCACAGGCTCAGGGCAGTGATGGCCTCGTGTCCCCTCCCCTCCAGGGCTCCCTCTCCATCCCAGCACACAGAACAGGCACTGAGCACTGTGACACTGCTGCTCTCACACTGAGCCAAGGAGCCACGGGTCCCCCTGCACTGAGGTGGGAGCAGCAGCACCTCAGGCACACCAAGGATGGGCTCCTGCTCCATGGTCACCTCCTCACTGCCCATCACACCACAGGCTCTGGGGTGCAACGGGCAGTGCTGCCCAAAGGAGATAAAGTTTTCCAGCAGCAACAACAGCACAAGTTCCAGGAGTGCCACTAAACCTTTGGTGTGGGAATCCACAAAATCAGAGGGTTTTGGGAAAGCTGCAAAAGGCGGGCCCCAGAGACAGCAGAACTGTGATCAGAGCTAAGCAGCAGCCATGAGATTGGTCAGCAGAAAAATTATTTAAACCGTAGAAAAGCAAGGACAAATAGAACAATGGTCTGTGTATTAACGCTTGTCTAGAATAACTCCCTAAGCTACAGAAAACTTTATCTAGCAAGATATTAGGTTGACACTTAATAATGGAGCTCTGTGCATTGTGTTTTAAAACAAGCAGGTATTGTATTCAAAATAAGCAAGCATTTTTTAACTAAAGGTACATGTGCTTATAGTGGTTGGATAGAACTACTGTCAATGTGCTTTTGCTTTGAGTGGTTGGTCAAAAAACTTATAAAATGAGTTGGAACATTGAGTTCTTGGTCTGCTGCCTGGGATGTGAGCTGGTAGCAACTTCCCGTTGTCATAACCATGTTTTGAGACTGATGCTGGAAAATCAAACAGCTCAAGGCACGTTCCACAGCCACCCCATCCCGTTCGTGATTTGTACACAGCCCCAGCCAGCATCACTGTGGGCAAAATTAAACCCTAAATAATTACAGAACAGCTGATTTTGATTCTTTTTTAACATGTTGCCATGAATCAGACTCCAGTTAATTGATATTAACTGCACTCAGTGTGGTGGATCAATGGTGCTGGTGATCAGGGATATTGATGATCATGGAGCAGGAGAACTGCACGGTGAAAGGGAACATCACCTGGGATAAGATATTCAGGGGAAACAAAAGAAAAAGCCACAGGGGCACAGGAAGAGAGGACAGAGGTGTCCCAGGTAGCCTCACTGCACAGGAAGTCCATTGCTGGAAAAATCCCAGCTTTACAGAGACAGGGCAACTGAGAGTGCTGGCTTAGGAAGGACATGGAATAGAGGTGACATTGTTGAGAGAGAGATGGAACTAGAAACAAGTTTCAGCAAGTTTCAAACTATGGCCTTGCAAAAAAGAACATATTTTAGATATTTTAGAGAATTAGAACTATGAAAGATCCATTGTAGCAAGACCACATGGAGTAAAAATATAGGTGATTGGTGTTAGAAGAATTAGCAGCATTGTGTGGCAAAAGCTAAGAGGCTGAAAAACCTCTTATAAGATATTGTAACCAGGAAATTGGTTGGCTTCTGATAGAATGATGTTGAGTTTTACATCTCTTATGTCTCACCCTTCAACAAGACTGAAAATGGAATAAAATCTTTTTAAAACACCTCTCAGTTGCCCTGTCTCTGTAAAGCTGGGATTTTTCCAGCAGTCCATGTGTCCAGTTCCTGTGGGTAGCACTCAGGGGCTGGCAGTGGGTGCCACCACGCTGGGCACGACGTGGCTGTGGGAGCCTCAGGCAGGTGGTGGCAAAGGGAAGGTGAGGAACAGCAGGAGCACCCCTGCTTCCATGGCCTGAGCATCCCTGGCACTCCCATGGCATGAGCAGCCCCACATCCATGGCATGAGCATCCCTAAACTCACAGCCAAGGCATCCCTGGCACCCATTGCAAGAACATCCCGACACCCATGGCCTGAGCATCCCTAAATTCATGGCCCAGGCTCCTCTGGCACCCCCATGGCGTGAGCAGCCCCACACCCATGCCCTGAGCATCCCAAACTCACAGCCCAGGCATCCCTGGCACCATGGCCTGAGCAACCACACACCCATGGCATGAGCATCCCTAAATTCACAGCCAAGGCATCCCTGGCACCTATTGAAAGAGCATCCCTAAATTCACAGCCCAGGCACCCCTGGCACCCTGCCCTGAGCATTCCCAGCCCATGCTCACCCCCATTCTCCCTGCACCCCATGGCACCCACTGGGCAGTGCCAGGAGGAACTGGGCTGGTTTAGGGCTGAAGGGTGGCATTTTGCCAGCCTGTTCCCACAGACCATGGGGAGGGCTGACTGGTCACTCCCAGGACAGCTGTGCCCACAGGGTGATGCACAGCTGAGTCACCAGGACCTGCCAGCCCTCGCTGTGCCCATGTCCCTCAAACACACATTGCCTGAGGCTGCCCAAGCACAGCACCCACACCCAAACACAAGGGACCCCAGCCCATCCCACACAGACAGATCCCAGATCCCACAGGGAAAGTGAAGGGAAACTCAGCCTGAAAAGCTCAAAAAACACTGAGCAGCAGTTGGGTCAAAACCTGGGGTATCCACCTCATTAAAACCAGAGCTGGGGCAGGTGCAGGGGCCTGGGAAGGCTGGGGTTGTGCAAAGCCCACACAAAACACCTGAGCTGCTGTGGTGACCTGCCAGGATGAAGCCAGAAGGGCAAACAGCTCCTTAAGCAAATGTATTTGTTCCTGGGCTGACATTGGTGTGTAAATCGATTGTAAAGAGACTCAGGCTGGAAATGAGAAGGTCACTGGAGGGTATGTCCTAGAGAGGCCCTTCAACAAGGAATACAGGCAGGAGAGACAAAACTGCTCCAAGAAGGAGCAGGAGCAGTGTCTGCAAGGGTGACAAAGCATCTGTGTGACACAGGGGCAGGACAGAGCCACCTGAGGCAACCCAAGCTCAGTGAGGCACTGCCAGAAGGGCCAGGGGTGGCATCAGCACCACACTGCTGGGGATGGCCAGGCCAAGTGAGGGGTGGCAGACACTTTGGGAGCTCCTGGACACCCCCAGTGGGCAGAGGAACCCCCATACCTGCAGCAAACACCCCTCCAGTCTCTACATCACACACAGGACAGCTGAGAACACTCCCTTGGGACTGCCTGGAGAGGGGAAGCAGGACACAGAGATGCCGAGAGCCACACTCTCACTGTCCCTTGGGTGGCTGCTCTGCTGTGCTCTGCTGCCACACCATGCCCTGCCCACCCTGCTGAGGACCAGGACATCAGCAGGGCACTGCTGTGTCCTCAGTCCCACTGCAGGAGCTGTGGGAACCATCCAGCCTCCCTGGGCCTCACAATTTAATGTCCATCAAAGCCACTCCAAAACCTGACAGCCAGCTAGGCCAAGGGCAAAGTCCTGCAAATGGATCAGGGCAATTCCCAGGGCCAGCACAGACTGGGGCATCTCATGTGGTTGTTTCTAATTAATGGCCAATCACAGTCAGCTGGCTTGGACAGGGAGTCTGAGCTACAAGCCTTTGCTATCATTCTTTTTCTATTCTTAGCCACCCTTCTGATGAAATCCTTTCATCTATTCTTTTAGTATAGTTTTAATGTAATATATATCATAAAATAATAAATCAGCTTTCTGAAACATGGAGTCAGATCCTCATCTCTTCCCTCATCCTCAGACCCCTGTGAACACCACCACACTTCAACAGC